GAAACTGCAGAATTGCCAGGTATCTCTTAAGTTATCCTGACAACACTGCAGCAAACAAATACTTGACTATGACTAGACAGAATCTGCGCATAGTCACAGGCATTCTGACTGGTCATTGCCAAGTACGGAAGCATCTCCATATCATGGGGCTGTCAGAATCTGCACTCTGCAGAGGGTTCGAAGTAAAAGATGAGACCATCGAGTATATCATTTACTATTGCTCGACGCTCTCATTTATTAGAAGATTTGTGTTCGGCGAGTATCGGCTAACACCGGCCAATATAAGAGAAGCACCTCTTGGCGACGTTGTCAACTACATTAAATCTGTAGGCTGGCTCACGAGCTAGGAGGTGCCTATCATCTTAGGAGGATGCACAATGGACCTAATGAGGCCTGTGCTATGGGAGTGACCCACCCTCCACACGTTACAGATACAGATCTATTGAAGTAAATGCTTCAATTTTCTTGGTATTTGCCTTCTACAAAGAATTTATTTATAATTGATCACATACCTTTTTACATAAGAGCAATAAGCATTTTCCTCAAAATGCTGAGAACAGAAATAACAGAGTTTAGCTAAAAATAATTTCTAAATAATTTGATTAATGGTTTTAAGTTAAGTGCTCGAAATTCATAGGAGACTTGAAAAATAAAAAGCATTTAGATTAGAATCCAACAACAGGAACACAATTAAAGTAGTTACTGTTACTTACAAATGGAAAGATTTAACACAAAATGACCAAATAAAGCAAGGTTTTCAAGATATTCATTATTTGTAATAAGCGTTCAAAATAGCCTTTTAAAAGGCACTCAGAAACCTGCGCAGTGCGACCATTCTCCGTATAGTAAGAGAAAATCAAAGTATGTGCGCCTCGCTTTTCGTCGTCTAATTAACATATGGATGAGCAATTTATATGACTATATATCATTGGATTTCTCTATAGTACACGATTGCCAACTTAATTTTATAAAATTTGATGGACACTTTTTGAAAAAAACAACCATAATATAAGATTGTCCTCCTTTCCTCTACACACTATACTAAATATCTGAGTATGTAAAATGAGTATTTTCTATATTTGATCAATCCACCCTTTTCACTCAATAATGTCTCGACCTTTTCCCGTCTTTTACGCTAAATAATAAAGATAGATTACAAAAAATAATGGATTTGAGGGTACAGGTGGTTTTTCGCTTAGGTAAGTTTGGCCATCCTCCACTTTGTGTCCGTATACGCCATTTCAATGTTATTATTTTTACCCTAATAATAGTATCCCGTCACGTGTTCCTTGGTCTTCCCCTTTTGCTTCTGCCCATGAAACCCTACAGCTTTCCTATATAGTTGGCCCTAATATTTATTTTATCCTTTTTTGTGATTTAGCGCAATTTAATAATTTAGGCCAGGTAGGACATATTCAAATGTTTCCCTGTTCCCCTGGAGGAATTTCTACGTATGCCCATATATAAGTTGATAATGTATCTAACTATTATTTTTTTAATCCAGCAAATTATTTTTTTTATATTTCTACTCATAGATAATTCAAAAGTTTTAGTAATTAAGATTCCAAAATCAATGTCGAAATGTACATGCATTTGAAGGGTAAAAAAATATTAATTTACCATTTTAGTCGAGTAAACAATGTTGTTTTACCAAAGGACCCCGCCCTTTTCTAATGGCAAAGTGGCGTTCCGTCAAATGTAATAAATTTTAAATATGATGTAGTACTCGACTTGTTGACCAAAAGTGTTCATGGGACCAATTCAATCCTATGACTAGTTTTAAAATAAAGTCGAGAAATCGTATTTCTTGAAACTACGTAACTTAATTAAAAAGAAAAAATAAGCATTTTTACTTGATTGTAGCATTAATATGTCCTAGTCTAATGCAAACGTACATATAAATAGTTCAAAATGTAAACATATACAGGGTAGTACTCAGTTACATCAGGGGGAATTTTTGAAATTCTGAGAGATTCTGATATGGAATGAAAACATGGTCAAAAATAAAAACTTATAGTCCAGGATCCGTAAGTAAGGTCGACCTTCACCCATCTGTTTAATGGATAATTTTTTTTTTTTATTAGATAAAATATGTTTTTAAATATAGCGCAACTGGGTTGCCTAAGAATATATGGTCACGGCCATTTTTTTGCTTTCCTTTCTGTGTACAGATAAGGAAAGTATAGGAATCATGATAAAAGTTGCTTATGATGTCATTCTCTATTATTTTGTCTCTATACATGATTTCCCTAAAATGGACCTAATTCGAGATATTTGGGGAAAAGTGCAAATTTCGAATTTTGAATACAACTTAAAAACGGATAAAGAGAAAAACACCAAATTTTATTCCTAAGTTTAAATCTATCCTGCGGTGAGCTGATTAAAGTTTGGGCATAGTCGAAGCATCTGGAGAATACTTTACACGGTGACGTTTTTTTTTTATTTTAAGAAAATAAATAGTCTGGACCGTATTTTCTTAGGCAACCCTTTTGCAGTATATTTATAAACGTATATTATTTAATAAAAAGAAACTTTCATCCATTAAACAGATGGGTGAAGGTCGACCTTACTTCGGTTCTTAGACTATACATAATGTTTACTGTTTTGACGTTATATAAACCCATTTTACATTATATGTATACAGGGTGATTGTTAATTCATTCCACAGAAAGGCGTTTCTTAAAAAATAATTACACTCTGTATATTAGGGAATTTGTTAATAATATTGATTATGCATTTAATACCTAAAAAACAATAATTTTCATGGAATACAGGGTGATAGACACATCTAATTCGTTTTTGATGCAGCAATTATTAAAGAAATATTCCTTTTTCAGAATCGCCCTATATTTTTTAATTTGATCCGCCAAAATGTATGAACTGTTTATTTTTGTTATTAGCTTTAAGCAATTAATAACTTCATATAATTTCATAATTTTAGTATGATCCGTTTTTGAGATTCCAACATATAGTGAACCATATTATGTATGTAGGTATAATAATTCCCATTTATGGTTACAAAAAACGTAGTTTACTATCGGCTAGATAGGAAGGAACAGAAATGCAAGTGAATAAAAATATCGGAAAAATTATGTTCGTTTATCAAGCGTTGCGCGTCGCATCAGTTTAACAATTGTAAAGGTCAAAAACAGAATTAAACAGCAATATTCCTTGTAATATTTCAATAAGTATATCGAGATTTATTAATATTTGCGGGTCAGAAATAGTAAGGGAGATTGAAAAATCAACTCCAGAAAAATACAAAAAAAAAATAAAGTTTAATTGAATTGATTTTTCATTCATGGAATGGCCTTACCAAATACCACGCGAGCTCAGATCTAGCAGGATATTTTTTACGGTGGTTTTTTCATACTTATTCGAAAATAACCACAAAAAATATCCGGCTAAATCTAAGTTCTTGTGGTATTATTACCCCCGATAATTTTTCAGCAAATAAAAAATATCCTGAATTGTCTGATATTTAATGGTTCACTATATATATTGGAATCTCAATAACGGATCATACTAAAATTATGAAATTATTCAAAGATATTAATTGCTTATAGCTTATTACAAAAATAAATAGATCGTACGTTTTGACGGATCGAATTGAAAAATATAGGGTGATTCTAAAAAATGAATATTTCTTTAATAACAATGGCGGCCAATAGATTATCGGCACATAATACTCCTAGTGCTATTTTTTTCCTTGTCCAAGCTTCAAACAAAACCTATGCTAAAAAGCGTGCTAATCTATATTTCATTTGTTTATCTAAGGGTCGATTTCACCGTTGTGTTAAACGGAGATTAAAATGACATTGTTAATGTAAAAATGTCATTTTAAACTTCATTTAACACAACGGTGGAATAGTAAACATTATGTAAGTTTTTATTTTTGATCATGTTTTCATTCCATATGAGAATCTCTCAGAATTTCAAAAATTCCCCCTGATGTAACTGAGTAACACCCTGTATATGTTTACATTTTGAACTATTTATGTGTACGTTTGCGTTAGACTAGGGCATATTAATGCTACAATCAAGTAAAAATGCTTATTTTTTCTTTTTAATTAAGTTACGTAGTTTCAAGGAATACGATTTCTCGACTGTAACACCCTGTATTTTAAAAACTAGTTATAGGATTGAATTGGTCCCATAAACACTTTTGATCAACAAGTCGAGTACAACATCATATTCAAAATTTATTACATTTGACGGAACGCCATTTTGCCATTAGAAAAGGACGAGGTCCTTTTAGTTTACAAAACTTAATAATTCATCTGATACTGTATACAGCTATTTTGGACCTATAGGTACAGGGAGTTATTAATTAAGGAGGACGCAACTGAACTTTAGGTTATGTAGAAATCTAGGTTATCGACTTCAATGTAGTCATAATTTGACAGCTAACAAGTACCGTCATTCAAGTTGTTGCCAAATATTGTTCACAAGAACAATTTCTTTAGGCAAACGAATTCGAAATCGTAGACTTACATCTTTTATAATTAGATTTTAAGCTGACTATCTCCCTAGACCAAATATCAGCGACTATTTCTCTAGAGAAATAGTCTATATTTGATCTAGTGAAATAGTCGTTCCAAATATAACACGACCTTAATTAATATTCTGCTATTTTCGTTGTTGCTAAATTTCTCGACCATTTTACAATTTGATTCTACATAATTTTGGCATTAATAATCAATTGATTAAAGCCCTCGAGCTAAAGCTCTTTGGCTCTAATCAGATTATTAATGCAAAAAATTAGGTCTCATCATATTAATATTAAAATAGTCTCGAGTTTTAGATTCAACAAAAATAGCCGACTATTATCAGGGTCTTGGCATATTACCCTTGACTATAATTTTTAATTTTAAGTTAACTTAATATTTCTGACTATTACATAAATATTAATATTATTACTATTGCATACTATTACATAATTATTTATTCATTATTAATATTACATAATTATTTATCTATATCTTCTTTTATTCTTTTAGATCCGATAAAAATAACATTGTCTCGGATCGTCTAGCAAACGTTACACAAACCATATCTAGACTATTAGAGGGATATGATATTAGACTTAGGCCCAATTTTGGAGGTAAGTCTTTACTTAATGAATTTTATAAATTAGTATTCGCTCAGTGATCGAAATTCGACCACCATCATTGTTGAAAATTTGGGGAAAATATGCATTTGCATGTTTCTAAATTTTTTTTTATTGTTATAGGTACATTCGTTCATTGTATATTTGAGACCAAAAACCTTTTATAATTATGTACTTACAATACAACATAGTTCAGTACCATTATAATTAAATAAAAAATAAATTCAATAAAATAACAGTAACTCACAATTTAAAAACCATTATTTTTTTAATTATCTAAACTGCAAATATCTTAAAAACCCGAATTATAAAAAAATGTTCACCTCCTCCTACACAGGGCTCTTTCAGACATGACGGTTTTGTTCGTACGGAGAAAATTCGTACGAATTTTTTCCGTGTCTTGGTAGAATTCACACTCGACGGTTTTCTTTTCCGTGAACCGTCTTTAGCTATTGTATTTTATGTCAGTTGGTTATCGACATAAATCGAAAACGCGCCATTGTCATGTGGATTTTGTACCGTCATATACAAAAGTATCAGAAATAACATAATCGTATATACTAGGTGCACCCAATTAATCAGAAAAGAGATGAAGTGGGCCCATTCATTTGCTTAATAGAAAATTTACGTGCAGACGATTTTAGTTACCTTCGGATGTCCAATGTATCCTATGATGAGATTCATAACCGACTAAAAAACAATATTCAGCGGCATAATACTAAAAGGAAAAACTGCATTGAACCTATTGAAATAACAGTTGTGACACTGAAGTAAAAGAGTTCTATGTTTGTTTCGTTACTAGTTTATTAATTACAAAATCAAAAAACAAAAAAAATTCATTATGTCATACTACTAGTTTATAATATTGTCATGCATGGTCACATTGACGCGTAAACCAAAATACAAAATATTTATGATAAATAAAAACCAAACGGCACGCAATAACGGACGGCAGACGGCTAAAAATCGTCATATATGAAAGCCTGCATAAAGTTACATAGGCCACTGATAGACGGCGACGGTACGGTACCGTACAATTCAGTCGTTGACACGGCTGTTTTCAAATCGACCGTACGGAAAAAAATCCGTCTTCGTCCAGTATGAAAGCTGCAGTTAATTTTATTAATTGACTATCATCGACGCACGGAAAAAATCCGTACGGACGAAATCGTTGTGTCTGAAAGAGCCCCCAGGGCCATTTCAGACACAACGGTTTTGTTCGTACGGAGAAAATTCGTACGAATTTTTTCCGTGTCTTGGTAGAATTCACACTCGACTGTTTTCTTTTCCGTGAACCGTCTTTAGCTATTGTATTTTATGTCAGTTGGTTATCGACATGAATCAAAAGCGCACCATTGCCATGTGGCTTTTGTACCGTCGTATACAAAAGTATCTGAAACGATATAATCGTATATATTAGCTGCACCCAATTAATCAGAAAAAGATGAAGTGGGCCAATTCATTTGCTTAATCGAAGACTTACGTGCAGACGAAAATACAATTTTTAATTACTTTCAGATGTCCATTTTATCCTCTGATGAGCTTCTTAACCGACTAAAAAACAGTATTCATCGGCATAATACTATAATGAGAAACTGCATTGAACCTATGGAAATAATAGTAGTGACACTGAAGTAAAAGAATTCTATGTTTGTTTCGTTACTAGTTTATTAACTACAAAATCAAAAAACAAACAAAAATTCAAAATGTCAAACTACTAGTTTATAATATTGTCATTCATGGTCCTACTGACGCGTAAACCAAAATACATGCAACCAAACGGCACGCAATAACGGACGGCAGACGGCCAAATATCGTCATATATGAAAGCCTGCATAAAGTTACATAGGCCACTGATAGACGGCGACGGTACGGTACCGTATAATTCAGTCGTTGACACGGCTGTTTTTAAATCGACCGTACGGAAAAAATCCGTCTCCGTCCAGTATTAAAGCTTCAGTTAATTTTATTAGTTTACTATCAACGACACACGGAAAAAATCCGTACGAATTTTTTCCGTACGGACGAAATCGTTGTGTCTGAAAGGGCCCTGGGGGGGTGGACGAACTGACTTGTCGTTCGGAGGATCATAATGGTCCATTCCGAAGAACGCCAAGACAATATAATAGTTATTAATATCCATTATAGTATTTGTCAATTTTTTTGTGTAGGGAATTATATCTTACATTTTGATTCTCTACTCAACCATGGGAGTAGAGAGGAAAATCTCCAAAACCCAAAGAAGTGCGAATTTGGGGTCTACTTTTTTTCATTTTGAAGGGAGGGGGTGAAATTTGGTTGTCCAATCCATCTTACCTGAAGCTCATTTTCCTAAATCTAGCGGTTCTATAATATATCGACATCGCATGAGGTGAGGGAGAAGTATTTAT